AATAGGCAGTAATATTATTACGTTATTCTGTGAATAACTCAAGCAAAACAAAAAAACCCAAAAAAATAAAATAAAATATTGATGTGGTTGACAGTAATATTATTGTGTTTACATAGTAATATAATTACGTTCACTTGTCAACAAATCAAACAAAATTAAAAAAATATAACAAAAACAAATAATAATATTACGTTAATTTACTGTCAACAGAAGTACAATTACATAAATGTATTGTCAACGGCAGTATAATTACATTAATGTACTATATGAGTGACAATATAATTACTTTAATGTACTGTCAGTGACAGTATAATTACCATTAATGACAGACGTCTAGCGGCGGACGTATAAAAAAAAAAAAAAAAAAAAAACTAAAAAACTAAAAAAAATGTCAACATAAACCCAAATAAATAAATGGCTTATTTGAGATAGCCCCTATCACTAGCAGTCTAGCTTACAAAATGTAGGATAAGTACAGGACTTTTTATAATTTTTTAGTAAAATCAATTAGTACTAAGTTTTATTCGATATAAACCCAAATAACTAATTTATACCCTTTCAAACCCGAATTACGGTTTATTTTATCTTATTTTATTGTGATTATTTTTATTTTTATTTATATATTTAAAACTAATAATTAATTTTTTGTTTAATTTTTTTTTCCAGCGGCGACCTAGGTGGTTGTAGGGATGGCAAAAAAACCCGAATCGCTAGCTATCCGCGGGTATCCGCTCCGTTTAAAACCCGCTATCGAAACCATTAGGGTTTGATAATGGTTTTGGTAAAAGAAATGCAAACCGTCAAGGTTTTTGTATGGTTCTGATTTTACCCATAAGGTTACGGTTATATATATATATATATATATATATATATATATATATACATATAAAATATTTTTAATTCAACATATTATAAATAAAAAATTAGTTTGGCAAAATTAAAAAAAAAATATTAAATAACCTATGGAAAATATAATTTTACTACTTATTAATGAATTGCTTACCTACATAACAAGTTTCGAATCATTCTTTTTTTTTTTTTCTTTTTGATAAGTGTCAATTATGTATCCTAAATTTCATACTTCAAAATATATTTTTAATATATTGTAGTGGATATTGCTTTAATCATTATTTTGTTGCCTTGGAACTAGGGGTGTGAACGAGCCGAGCTCGCCTCTTTTGGCTGGCTCGAGCTCGAGTCTATTTTGTCGAGCTCGAGCTCGAGCTCGTCGAGTTCTTATTTTTCTGGCTCGAGCTCGAGCTCGTGTTAATTTTGTCAAGCTCGAGCTCGAGCCCAGTCTCTCTCTTTTTTTTTAAAAAATATTTTTTAATTATTATTTTATTATTAAAAATTATTTTTAAAAAATACAAAATAAAAACTAAATTGTGATTATATATATTTTTAATATTTGTATTTATTTCTATAATATTTTATATTATTATACATTATTTAAATAAAAATAACATATAAAAAATAAAAAAAAATAAAAAAATAATAATAAATCAGGCTCGCGACCCGGCTCGCGAGCTGATGAACAACTAAAATCCGGCTCGAGCTCGGCTCGTCAGAAAGCTCGAGCTCGCGAGCTCGAAAACCTCGAGTCCGAGTTCGAGCTTTTTACGAGCCGGCTCGGCTCGTTTACCACCCCTACTTGGAACATAAATTTTGATTAAGTGTCTTATTTCATTTTGTATAATTTACTTAAAAAAATTGCGTCTTTTCTTTTTCTTCCTGTTTTTCTGAGAGGTAATGAAAAGTTATTGCCCTGACATTATTTAATATCACTATAATTTAAATGGTAAATGGTTATTCGTTGGATGGGGATATTGGAGATAATGGTTATATTAAAGGGTAATGATACAGATTTGACACTTTCTTTTAGGATACCTGTTCCGCTGCCATTCCTAATTGGTTAAATTGATCTATTGAACATTGATGGTACCTATTTTACGTACCATTAATATAATCCATTCAAATCAATGATGCTTCCCTAAATTAAGCTTATGTGAGTTATATACAGAAACATACACAAGGAAATGCTTGGCCTCTCGTACTTTATACTTTCTTACGAGGTATTTTGAAGAATTTGATTGGTATAATAATGTTTAATGATTTGTTTATTGTATTTTAAGTACAAATTGAATAATTGAGTTTTTGAGGAGAAAACGAGAATTTACAAACAATAATTGGACCCCAGTCTCAGAATCATGAAAACAAGCTAGAAATCTCACACTGCGGTCCGCGAGATGAGAAAAACGAAATTTGACTTAAACTTAGAAACACAGGTCATGAGTTTTATTATTTATATGAGGTTTATAAGCTAAGATAAGAAAATGAAGTTTTTTGAAGCACAAAAATTTAGATCTAGCAAGAAGCAAGAAGAGCGAGAAAACGAAGAATCAAAGACGAAGGCTTGACAAATCTTCATCATAATTTTGAAACGCTCTGTGGTGATTTGGACCTATTTATACAATCATGTGGATCACCACGACCATCCACCAATTATACAAACTTCCAGGGAACCCCTTGTTAGTATCCAACGCACAACCTTGGGAGAAATTGCAAGAAGACGTCACATTTGCCAAAGTTGCCGAGTATTTATGTGATGTAAGAGGTACGGCCACGAGAAAGAGCATTGCTTAGCCACGCGGAGTGTGACACTCGAAGCCAAAGCATGGCTCGACTTCATCTTTGCTCGACTCATACCTACATCCACAATAAGCTGGATGAACTTCGAGCGATGTGCATGGGTCTACTACATCATGAAGAGTAAGAAATTGGACATACTGATGATCATTATATACCAACTTCACATTGCCATGCAGCCACACGAAGGGTTTCTATTTCCCTAATATGATAACCGAGTTGTGCAAGAAAGATGGGATTCCCGAGAAGCCAACCGATGCAACCATCAAGATCAAAGGACCAATCAATAATAGTGCCATGAAACAATATGTGAGTATTGGTGAACGAGACGATTGGCTCGAAGAAGCAATGGCAGCAGCTGACGCGCAGACTTCATCGGCATACACGAGTAATGAACTTACACATACGGTCAAGAATATAGAGCGAGGATTGATGATGTGCCGAAACGACATAACGAAGTTAAACATGAGGTGGGAGGAATTAAAGGATTTATGGCGCTCACCATCAAGATGATGAAGGCGATGGGTGAGAAGATGTGTTGTGATTTTTCTGATTGCATTGAACCTGTACCACTTCCGAGACCCGTTCTCCAACAGTTCCGGAATTTTTGGATGACGAGGAAGCTAGTCGAGCGGGAAGCGAGGCACAACCCCCATACGACTGAAATTCGGTGTTTTCTATACTTGAATTTTGTTCGAATTAAGTTGAGAGCAACGTACATTTTAAGTTAGGGGGTGAAAAATTACTTGCGTTTATGTGCTTTAATTGATTGTAGTTGCTTTCGATATAATAAAAATTATAAAAAAAATAAAAAAAGTTTAAGATGAATGCATTGATGAATCATGATGATACAACAAGATGGTTGATGTTTAATGATGAAATTGCTTATTTTGTATTGATTATGATCGAATATTGGTGAGATTTCGATTCAAAGTGTCTTTGGAATGTGTCAGTGTTAGGAATCACCAATTAGCCTTACTTTGGTTGAAAGTTTTGTGTTTTTAAAATTGAAGTTAATTTATGCTATATCTTATGATGTTCGGTTTTAGAACTCACCTTAGGAATTGAAGTTAATTTATGCTATATCTCAATCCAAGAACAAGCTTCGGCCCTTGGATTAAATCTAGGAGAAGAATCAGAGGAATCAACAAAGATTGTAACCCATTTTCGTTTTGATTAAAATATATTTATTTGTTCCTATTTTTTCTTGTCTTGTAATTTACTTTGCAGACATTTAAATTTGAGGTTAACAAATTGGCACGCCCAGTGGGACTACTTTGCCTCTCATCTCCTCTCCTACATCGAAGCGCATATCCACGTGTTCAACGATCCAATGGCTCCAAAGAAAAACCAAAACTCTTTGATCCAAAAGGCTGCCGAGATCGCCACCGTTGTTGGTTTATCATCCACCGGGGGCAAGATCGAGAATACAACTACGACAAACGGCTCAAGCTCCTCAGGCTCGGAAGAGATCGACTCCAAATCTCAAGCCTTCACTACATTGCCGGTTATGGTGGTTGATGCGACTTCCGTGGATGAGCAATTGGCGCACTTGGCCCAAACATTGGCTAATCTTCAAAAAAATGTCGAAGACAAAGACATGAATATCGCTCAATTAATGGACAAGTTGGAACAGTCGGAGGTTGGGGAGTTTAGCCCGAAGCACGAATCTTACCCGCTTCGCGACGAGAAAGCAAAGCGAGTGGAAGAAGCACAACCCAAGCCGGACTTCGTGCAAGGCGCCACTCATTCTTCGATGTCTGTTGCCACGCTATCTGTTCAACAATTGCAAGAGATGATTGCCAATACTATCAAAGCGCAATATGGCGGACCATCTCAAGTCTCACCCATGTACTCAAAGCCGTACACTAAGCGGATCGATGCATTGAGGATGCCAGTGGGATACCAACCCCCAAAACTCCAACAATTCGACGGAAAGGGGAACCCCAAGCAACATATTGCTCATTTCATCGAAACTTGCAACAATGCGGGGACTAACGGCGATCTCTTGGTGAAACAATTTGTAAGATCACTCAAGGGAAATGCTTTCGATTGGTATGTCGATTTGGAACCCGAGTCCATCAACAGTTGGGAAGAGATGGAACATGAATTCTTGAATCGCTTCTACAGCACACGTCGTACCGTGAGTATGATCGAGCTTACCAATGCGAAACAGTGGAAAGATGAACCGGTCGCGGATTACATCAACCGTTGGCGTGCACTAAGTCTAAATGCAAGGATAAACTAA